AGTCCACCAATGCTAATTGACTATAATGGGATTACTATCTTCATGTCAGTGCAGGGTGCAGAGCAGGTTTCCTTATTCAAGGGTGCGATGTAGTGATTTAACCTTTGACTTGTTTTCCAAGTAGTCCTCCCTGTGGATCTGTGTTATATTCAAGGTTCTTTGTTTTGTCTTTAGTTGTTGTTGATCATTTCTCTCTCACACATAACCCCCCGCTGACTTTATGTGTCACTTGTGGACCTTCTGCTAATCTGGGATCTGTCACTGGGAGGATTGGTCAGGGATGGGCTTCGCTTGGCAATGTTTCAGGGATTTGAAACACAAAAACATCCGGTCCCAAGAGAGCCGGGCGTCTGTTCAACCAGATGCGAGCCATCAGCATCGAAACGCACACTCACATGCACACTCACAATGAGACATATTCACAATTATTGCATTTACTGTGGTTATATATCATGCTCTCGTGTGCATGAATACATAATCACACACACACACACAGCAGTGCCTCTATACAAGCCCCAGAGGAGTGAAACATATGTCTGCTCCCTCACCACTGGCGAGTGTCGGAGCAGGGGGGTAATGTTTATGAGAGCATCATTAATATGACAAAACAAGGCTGGCGGAGGGATTTAGTGCACACTGTGGAGCTGCCATCACCTGTCAGGGCTTCTTATCCCCATCTTCACTGCGGTTAGCGTCACCGTTAACATCTCACCAACACTAAAGACGGGTGATTAATCTCTGTTTAGGCTTCAAGTGTGTATTCAGTACCTGTGTCGACTCTTAAAGAAGCATTCAGATCCTCTAAAGCAGGGGTGTCAAACTCAAACACACAGTGGGCCAAAATAAAAAAATGGGTACTAGTCGAGGGCCGGACTGGTTCAATGTTTATTGCAGAGCGTATTGAAATGAACTTATTGCACATATTAAACCTGGAACTAACAAAGCTTCAATTATTGCCTATAAAAACAACATTAAATAATCAGTTGCATTCATTTCTTATGGCTCTATCTGCAGCTTTTCCAGAGTCATTTCTTATGAGTACATTTCTCCACAGGCCAACAACAGCTTCAACAAAACTATTCCCCTCAAAGAGAAAACCAAACATGCCCTGCTGTCGTGAGAGAAAGTGCAGAAGGAAACATCCATTAAACTCAGTGTGCTGCTCTGTGATGCTAGCTCAGATACTTGGCATCTCATCTTGGGTGCAAGGTCATCAATGTTTGGGCTCAGGCTCTGAGCGGAGGAGACCCTCAGGATGGAGTGAAGGTGTGCGTGCAATATACCGGCGGGCCAGATCTAATAGTAATTTAAAAATTATCCTGCGGGCCGAAATTAAATCCACCAAGGGCCTGATTTGGCCCCCGGGCCTTGAGTTTGGACACATGTGCTCTAAAGGCCCTGAAAACCTATTTTCTCAAGCAACCTTTTAAAGAATAGTTTGTACTTCTCCCTGGTTTGGCATGGGTTGTGCATACTTGGAAATAGATGATGTTGCATACTTTCATATGCACCAATCACAAATGTGCAATATAAGCAACAATACCACAATGTTAACATACAAAGTAAAAGCCCTGCATAGACAAAATGCTCATTGTTTTTGTTGTGCAATGTTAATGTGCATTTTCTGGCTTCATTTTTGATTCTAGTAAAGTTAATTATGAAATGAACATTGCATGCACCTCCTGCTGTAGATTAATGATTAAAGCTCCTGTTAGGTATAGGTGTGAAAATCAAGGTCATCAGAAGTAAAATGAGCTGAAGAAATGTTAAAATAGTTAACTTAATAATAACGTTTGAATTGATTTAATCTACTAATTGGTGGTTCAGGCAAAAAAAAGAACGTATTTTTCTTTATTTTACCAGCAACGGGTGTAACATACAAGCGGCCGAGATGGGTTTTCTCCGCAGGGTGGCTGGTGTCTCCCTTAGGGATAAGGTGAGAAGTTTGGTCATCAGGGAGGGACTCGGAGTTGAGCCGCTCCTCCTTCGCGTCGAAAGGAGCCAGTTGAGGTGGTTCGGGCACCTAGTTAGGATGCCACCTGGGCGCCTCCCTAGGGAGGTGTTCCAGGCACGTCCAGCTGGGAAGAGACCAAGGGGTAGACCTAGGACCAGGTGGAGGGATTATATCTCTTCGCTGGCCTGGGAGCGCCTTGGGATCCCCCAGTCAGAGCTGGTTGATGTCGCCAGGGAAAAGAAAGTTTGGGGCTCTCTGCTGGAACTGCTACCCCCGCGACCCGACCACGGATAAGCGGAAGAAGATGGATGGATGGATGGGTGTAACATTTCAGTTATACTTTAGGCTTTTACTACCTCTTGTCAGGTTTAGCGAGTGCCAATGTTTATTATAGCTTGATCACTAATTCAATAAGTCCAATTTATTACATTGAATGATTCAGATAGTAAAAAGGCTCATCATATGGTATGTGTGTAACAGTACAATATTAATCCGTCATATCAATGTACTGGATTCAAATGTATAATTAATAACTCTAAAATGTATATTAGTCACAGTCAAAGCAGCATTGCATCGAAGTTAACTACCGCCAACTCCTGTCCCCAATATATCCGTCTGCTAGGGCTGCTCCATTATGGCAAAAATCATAATCTCGATTATTTGGGTCAATAATTGTAATTGCGATTATTAAATGCGATTATTCATTGACTTTGAGAACATCCATTTATTGGAGAAAAAACATTTAAACAGTAAGTTTTTAACAGTTGATTACCCTGAACTTTAAGTATAATTCAACTGAAAAAAGTAATAATAATAAAAAAATAATCGTTTTATTTCGATTACGTTGTTTTCGTAATCGTTGAAAGCCATAATTGCGATTAAAATACGATTAATTGAGCAGCCCTACCGTCTGTCATGCTTTTTAACTCCAGTTGTTTATGGGTTTGGTATTTTCTGTTAAACAATTGAAGCGTGCATCTGTTTGTGTATATAGGGACGCTCAAACACAAATGGTCTTTTACGTCTGTGTACTTGTGACAGGGAGAGATAAGGCGGTGTGTTAATCCATTCTGCGTGGGATCGGCCTCCCAACTGTCTCTCTTTTGTTGGTCCCCATCTCCAGCCCACCACCTGTTGGCAAGATATTACAGCTTCTCTTAACAGGATAACTCACCGCCTGTTCCACACCAACCAGCTAATCCTATAAACCAGTGGTTCTCAAACTTTTTTCATTAATCCCCCTGATCAGCGCAAACACAATTTGTAAAGGAAAACATGCCTATAAAGAGGTACAGCACAGCGCTGCACCATCAGTGTCTGATTTATTAAAACAACAACATTGTAACTGAGAAACACTTAAATGCTACATTTCAAATGTTTACAATCCATCACTAAATTCATGGCAAGCCAATTTTAACATCATGCAATAACACTAAGACGACATTAGTTGCATTGAACTAATCTTTTTAATAAGTTGTACTTAGTGAGAAACATGGGCTCGTGCTTCACTGAGGATCTTTGTCATTCTCGATGACAGGGAGGCAACTGCAGTTATTACACTTCGCGTTTTGAAATATGTGTAACTCTGTTCATATAAAACCCACACTGCTCAAACTTCGTTACTTTTCCTAAAATTGGTATATCTATTTATTTATTTTGGGGTGTGGCGAATGAAGAGAAATATATGAGCATTTTATGAGCATGGGATTTTGACCCCTCATTCCTCATATAAACATATGCATAATGCTGCGCTATACTTTGCGGCCACACGCCGTTGCCAAGCAACGCTTGTTGTTTAGGTGTCCTTTGATAAGCAGGCAGTCATATCATTAACTAGAACTATCTCGATCTGATAGATTTGGACATAAACGGGAGTGAAGTATAACCGGACGTGAGAGAGAGATCAGATCAGCTGCTGCTGACGGAGAACACGCAGCTCTGCATTATAACAGCTCCGCCGCTGTGACGGACCGTTGAGTGGAGCAAAATTAAATACACTAAGAGTTAGACCTACTGTAACACACTTAGCTAGTTTATCTACTCTGGAACAAGCTAAACTAGTTATAAATATATTTATTCTTTACTGTCGGGTCACTTATTACAGGTTCAGCGAGCTGCACGAGACTGACGAGCTGTCAGGAGAGGGAGAGGAAAAGAGAGCACCCCGTTTATTTCCCCCATTTTATTATCCAGAGTTTCTGTAAACCTTTGAATAAAGTAATTCATCTACTATTAGTAGTTTGTTTAAATGCATTACTTATGTTTTTTTTTTTATTAACATAAAATAAATCTCACGTACCCCCTGCAGTACTCCAACGTACCCCTAGGGGTCCGCGTACGCCCATTTGAGAACCACTGCTATAAACCATATACCCATGTCCGCTCCTTTGTCTTTCAAAGCACAGCTCTGCTTTTTATATTTGCCATTTGCAGCTAAAACGGTGTTAGTACTGTACGTCCTATCGTCATCTATTAGCGGTTGCCAGTCAATGAATTTAAGGATTGATTATGCAATCTGTTGCTCTCTAGCCGCCGGAGAGTATTGATGAAGGTGTTTTAAAAGTGATTAATTGAGGAGGGGGAGGGGCTTCATCATGTATGACTTAACATGAATTACTGCTGATGGATCACTTATGGAATGATTCATTAGTGCAGTGCATATAGTAGATGAAGAGATCAACGGGATTGTTTTTGTCAAAGAAAGCCCAATACAAGAAATTCATGCTGACTGTTGGTTATTGAATCAATTAATCTCCATCAACCCTCAACAATCCAAACATTAAAGGGACATATGACGCACATACAATAAAAAAGATATATAAACATATGTATACAAATATGTTTATATACACAATCAACAGACACATGTATACATATGCACACATTAAGACCTAAATAAAAGCACCATATTCAACAAAATAACAGTCACTTCAATAACTTTGAGAAATGTGCATTAGTGCAAGACTGTCATTTACGCTCTATGCAGACGATACCCTCTTCTCCACTCATCTCCCCTTTCCCCCCTCTGTTTCCCCATCATTTGCAGGGCGGTGGTGCACATTCAGGTGAACGATGTGAATGAGTTTGCCCCGGTGTTTCGGGAGTCCGAGTACCGAGCCGCGGTGACGGAGGGAAAGATTTACGACAGCATCCTGCAGGTGGAGGCCACGGACCAGGACTGCTCCCCGCAGTACAGCCAGATCTGCAACTACCAGATCTCCAGCACCAACACACCCTTCGCTATCGACCGCAACGGTGAGTGGAGGAGAGGGGAACATATTGGATAGTTTCAGAGGTGGGAAGTTCAAATACTTCGTTATTGTACTTAAAGTGGACCTATCATGCTATATTTGAATAATATAGTGTAGGACCATATAAGGCATATTTATACTTTTTATTTTTCAAAATACCAAAACAGATCATGCATTTTAGCCCTTCCTCATTTCGCTCAATTTAACACTGTCTTTGCTGATTCTGTGAGAACAGCACCATCTACAGGCCTGGCATATGTACTACAGCGTCTCCAGCGCTTTCGAACGGCAATGTCCGTGGCTGTCTCCTCCTGATTGGTGGAGTTGGCCCAATAGCCGTAGCGCCACTTCTGTGACGTCACAGAAGTGTTCAAATCAGTCTGTATCAGATCCGTTGCAGCCCCTTTTTAAGAGATTTGGGTACGGAGGAAAATAGAGAGGGTTGTGTTTTCTGACACTTGGTGAGTTCCCTGGAACACCGGGGACACATATTCATGTATAACAGACGTACACAAGTGCATTTTGCATGATAGGTCACCTTTAAGTACATTTTTCTGGTATCAGTACTTTACTCCACTACTTATTTTTCCGACGACTTTTTACTTTGACTTCTTACATTTTCCAAACAGCTGGTTCCTTTAGTTTGAATGTGTGTTTGGTGCGTGATCATTATTATTTAGAGTCATTGCGTGCCTATTGATTTGAACACGATCCGTGTATCCATCATTTCTTGAGGCCTGTACTACGAAGCTGGTTCAACCTAACCTGGATATGTTTGAGTTAGCCGGTTGGCCTAATCCAAAACATACGCGCTCTCGCTAAACTGTACTACGACACGGGTTATCAAGTGGATCGCTCAAGCCAGCCGTGTCCTATCTAGTTGCGCGTTCACATAAAAGGGGTGGTATTTGGAGCATTCGACCAATCACAGACATGGAGAAGCGTACTGACAGCACAGCGTCATACTTCCTGAATGAAAAGTCAACTATAATATTAGACAAATATGAAGAAGTTAAACTTTAAACATCCATGACTTAAACACTTGATCCAGGATCAAAGCCACAGAGCTGCACCTGCAAGGTGAATACAGCTGGTAACAGAACAAGTGTTTGAATGCGGACATTAACAGGTTTATGATATCACTGCCCCGTCTAAGACACGATCTGACATTAATTACATTTGTCTCGAGTGTTTCGTCAACTTAATGTGTTGCTTAAAATAATACTTCTGCATACAGTATGTGACACTGTGAGTGTTGCACGGCCAGATACGGCTCAGCTGACTCAGATAAGGAGATATATGATACATTATGAAGTGATATGCCGCGGACTGTACTTAATGTTACTTTGATCCGGTTACTTATGTTGTGGCAGATATTTAAGTAAGCTTTCTTAATGCTAATGTTATAATAGTCAGATTGCTCTGAAGATGGAGGTGATATTCTATTAATGTTCACGTTCACACAGTCGGTGATTTTTGCCGGCCGTCTTTCCTGCGACGGCAGTTTTTCTGTATTTCCTTTCTCCTGTAATATGACTTGATCGCTTTAAACTCCGCACACTGAGCTCTGATTGGTCAGCAGGCGGTACTTTCACTGAGTTGATCTCTTAGCCTGCAACCTAACCTACTCCGGGGCAGCATAAGTTACCATGGAGATCTAGCCCGCTAAAAAGAGAACCAGCGTCGTAGGACCGGAAACCCAGAGTTTTTCCTGAAGTTAGCCGGCTAAGCGAAAATCCTGCTTCGTAGTACAGGCCTCAGGTCTTCTCTAAAGAAGAGGGACCAATGGAAACGTTGTCATGTTGCCGTTGTTCAGCATGGAAACATTCTTTAGCTAACAATGACATTATTGTTCTATTAATATAAAGGGAGGTCAGGTACTCTTTAAAACAGCTGCTAGTTATGGGTACATTTCAAAGCCCATACTTCTTTACTTTTACTTGAGTAAAGAAGTTTAGTCAGTACTTCTACTTGAGTAAAGGATGTGTGTACTTTCGCCATCTCTGGGTACTTATCTTGAGATGCACATGGTTTTGTCCTAGCCCGTCGATAAAGCCCCGACATATGTCAGTGCTTGCCACAAAAAATCCTTGTTATTCCATCTAAACTGTGATCAACAGTGTCTGACAGTCATTGAATTTTACTGTTTAGGTTGTGGTGAAGCGTTGTCACTTTTTTGTTGTACCCACTTTTCCCTCAGCTACCGCATTGGCAGCACTCAAAAGTTATTTTCTCCACATCTTATTCAAAGACAATGTAAAAAACATTTCTGTCATAACACACTGACACTGAAATACCATACATGCACAGAGTTTCTATAGGAGATAGACACACACACACACACACACACACACACACACACACACACACACACACACACACACACACACACACACACACACACACACACACACATACCTTCACACACTCTGGAAGCAAAACCTAATAAACTGGCAGATGTCTCTCCCCGGGATAAAATGTGTTCTTTGCTCTTTCCAAGGACAAAGTGAAGCTTCGCCCAAAGAGCCATGGGTCACCATACATCAGATAACAGAAGTCTGAGCACAAACACAGCCAGACAAAGATAAATCCTAAGAAATATCACTCTCAAATAACTTCACAAATGTACTTTCCTTTCCACTTTGAAACCTCTGTTCTTGAACCCAACAAACACAGAGTGTGTTATTGTTACTAGCACTCACAAATAAAGACATGTTGAGTTAGTGAGCGATGCGTACACAAATATCTTGAGAGATGAGTAGGTTGTGTTTTGTCCTCTACTGACCTTATGCCCCTTCCTAGCTTAATGGAAGACACGTGCTTTTAATACATTCATATTTCTCAATGGGTCTTTTATGTTTGAACACCCTTGTTGGGTCGATCACACAAAGTCAAGTGGTAGACAAAGTATTCCTTGAGTGCACTCTGCCTCGGGGCTTTTCATCAACAATCTGCATACACGTCTGCTTTTAGGAGACATACTGTAGATGCAAGGGGTCATTGCTGTCCAGGTCTATGTTGCTGCTGGTGTTACAAAAGAAAGGCTGAGTGGACGAGGAGGTATGGGCCAAACTGCACAATGATACAGAGGGGAGGCTGCAGCCAAGTGCTCTTCCTTCTCTCTCTCCACTTGAAGAGGTCTCGCTCAGCCGTTGACCGCAGAGGAAAAGGGGTTGAGAGCTCTTAAACTGAAGAGCACCTGAGGGAGGGAGGGAGGGAGGGAAGGGGTAGATGGAGGGAGGACAGGGGGAGTTGGCTGTGAGAGCGAGAGTAAGTGCTTGGAGAGGAACAACGAGAAAATGCAATATGAAGCTCTATAGGTAAATAAACAAAAAGGATAGAGCTGGCGTTATTCCATATTATACCCTCTACCAGTAATCCCTTTAAAACATCATAAGCAACAATGAATGGATCCATTTAAGAAGCATGTGTGTGTTGCTAAAGCCTCATATATATAATTCCTCTTTGCCATTGATAGCCATTGTTGTCCAAAAACTCTTATCTATAAAAGTTGAGTCGAACTGTTGCGTCACTACCATGAAAACAAACCTGTAGTTCATTTAGTTGTTTACTCAAACCCACCTACATAGGGTGCCGAGGTGTCTCACTTTCTGCGAAACTGTTGACCAATTGTATACCCTCTCTGGCGTCCCGCAAATTGTCCGATGTCCCGCATTTGATTGACATTCGCCGTTCTAGCTTGAATGTTGAGGTCAAGAGCTTGCCAACCTGTCATCATTCTTGTTGCCTTTGTTATATCCTACTGGCACGAAACAGCACACGCTACCGTGATGTTCTTTTACGCTAAATATGATGGAAAGTATCACAATAAAAAAAGTAATTACAGCTACAGAAAGTCTGGGAAAGTCTCTTCTCATGTGTAAAGCCAGTGAAATCATATCATATATTGGAATACGCTAATATTTCTTCTTTTCTTAGAGTTACATAGAGATTAAATTGAAGTCTAAACCACCTCTCAGCATTGTGGTCCCCGCATTGTCCCACACAAACCTACTATTCGTCCCATATTTGGCCCATTGGCACCCGGTCACCCTCCACTTACACCATTCTCCTGTTGAAAATATTCCGTTCCACAACAAACCTGTCTTCATCCACACCTAAAAACAGTTTCAAAATGCTACACTTTTCACTTTTGTGTGAGTAACAATTGCTGGAAACTATAGTCAGCATCTGTTTTTCACTATCAAACCAATTATGAACTATGAAACTATATTTGTGTGTGCCATTTGTAAAGATATAGGGTAGCCCATTCACAGAGAGAGAGAACGCCTCACTGACGGCAAATAGTGAAATGGAACGATGCTGCAAAACACAGAGGCAATGATGTGCACTGAAAGTGATAGTGAGGGTTGGAAAGGGGGAGAACGAGGAGGGAAGGAATCATAAACGAGCTGAGAGGGAGACGCAGAATGTGAGATGAGGAAGACCGAACAACGTCGCATACTCATGCAGTATGAATAACATCTAATCCTCCTATTCACACACATATTCAAATACACCACATTATCACCATTCATCTCCCTCTGCACCTCTCTTCCCACAATACAAACATCTCAATAAGAGTACAGGCTCCAATAACACATTCCAGCTACGTTTCAACTCCAGAACCAATGAGGGCCAATGACATCCCGTCTCAACGCTCACAAGTGTTCTTAGTCGTGGTGCTGATCGGCCCGGCTGTGTGAACATAGCATTGTCATCTGTCTGTATTTGAAAACTCATCAAATATTAACAGATACATTAGCACAAGAGCTCCCTTCATGCTCTCTGCTCAGCATGATGAAGACGCGGCGTTTGGTAAATGGGTCGCGGTTTCCATCCAGACAGCAGACTCGTTCTATGCGGTCTGGATGCTGGAATTAATAGAGACGAGGCGCTTATTTGTTTCCTTTGAGGTTCTGTGTGAGGCGTTCTAACATCACAAAATCATCGCCTCATTAATTTTGATACATATTTGTACTAGGCTATTTCTTTCAAAGCAGG